AAAGAAGAAACAAAGTATCCATAGTAAGTGCTCAGGCTTCTGGGACTTGCATGTTATACAACTTCAAAATAAGAAACAAAGGAAGTCAATTCCCAAGGCAAATTTTTTAACACTAAAGCTTTGTTTCATAAAACCCTAATAAGCAGAATGCATAATCACACAAATATAGTATAATTCAGAAATTTATAAATAATTCTTTGCAAGATAAAATGCATTAAAACTATATATCGTAAATGCCTAATGTGGAGTATAGCTTATGAACACAGATGAAGTGTCTTGGGGAAACAGAATATAGAAGCTGAGTTTCTCATCTAATAGTGAATTATTTTTCTGAACCATTATCTAGGTCATGTTTATGAAAGTGCATTAATAAAAGTTAATATCCTAATGTGATTATATATTTTTGATAGCTTTTGATTCAGACAAAAGACACATCAAACTGAATTGGTGTCAGCAACTATTTTGGAATGTTTTATAATCAACATTTGCCAAACATATACGCCTATGTTTATATACTTTTTAGTATAAATATTAGCAAATTTTGCACTGTTTGCAAATTATATATTTAATTTTTAATGGTATTCTATTTTTAAAGAACATTTTTCTCTTTGTATTATATCAGAGGAATAAAATAGTAAATGTAATTTAGGTCAAACCAATACATTTTACTTAATTTAAGCATTAAGAGATGTGTGTTGGAAAGATCGCAATCTCCATGTATATTGCAAATAAAAAAACTAAACAATACAACATAACATTATGTATCCCATAGAAATCTGAATAACCAATTACTTAAAAATTTAACCATCTGCTCTCATTGAAGCAGCTTAGACTGAAACATTTCTCTGTGTTACAAACTAGCATAATCAGAATATAACAATGAGAAATGCTACACTCCCACCCCGACCACCCCTTTCTTATTTGCTGTGATAGTTTTCATTGAAAACTTGAGTATACAAACAAAGGAAAGGGGAATATCTTCCCCTTGCCCCATCTCCTAATTGAGCGCTTATATTCAGTAATGGCTTTTTTGCTGCCCTGGGCAGCATGACATTGCCTCATTTGGCCAGCACAGCTATTATTCTAGGAGCAGCGAGTGAAGTGGCCCAATCCATCTGCTTGCTTTTTCATGGGCTGGTGCTTTCCTTGATGTTGACAGCTGTCTTAATATTCCTGGGCCACCTGCCACATAGTAAATATTGTGCTCTAAGATATGTTCAGTAGTGTATCCCTCTGGTAAAGTTTTCAGAACAAAAAATCTTAGCATTTCTAAATAACTCTTGCATCAGTTTAAATGCTTCAGGGGTCAGCACTTCCTGTCTGTTCTCATAATTTTGAGGAGTGTAGTATGTATGCTCTAGGAATGGCAAGTCAGTTACTTATGACGTTAGTTCTGGTTTTCTTATAGATCACATAAGCTATTAAACTGTAATCCTTTTGTGGATGTGATGTGGTCACAGCAGGTGAAGAAGAAGAAAGAATATTGATGGTTATTTCCTCTAGTGAGCCCTCTAAGAACCCTTTAGACTATGCTGGGGATCTGTCCTGCCATCTTTCTCACCCTTTTTATGAGTCTGTTTCCCCCACCAAATTGAGGGAAAGCACTTGCTTTTTTCTTTCACTATACTTTTTTTTATAGCTAAGAATAAGCATGTGTCTGACACATCCTGGACACTTGTGGATTCTGCTTTTTCTACATTTTCAGGGGTTATCTTTAAAGAAAAAGGATTTAAAATTAAGAATAAAAACTAGATATAAAAATGATATAGAATTTCATAGGATGAAAAATAAATCATGCAAATTACCAATTTTAAAAGATTGACTAATCTTATAAACTTAACAAAAATCTATAAAAATAATACATTTTTCTATTAACTGCCTGGAAAACTTCTATATTGTAAAAGTAGTTTTGATAGCATACTCTTTGATGGACTTTCATATAACAAAAGTTTTAAATATAATTTTCTGTATAAAATAATGGAAATATAATTTAGATTTTCCTCTAGTTCAGAGGATCTTATTATTTTCAGGTTTATACAAACATGCAACACTATACTCTCCCTCTCTCTCTCTCTTTCTCTCATACACACACAGAACCCATAGTACTGCCAAAGGTTTATGTCCTTTCAGATGAGAATTCTGATAGAGTCTATGTTACATGATTTGCAGCCAAAAGAAAAAAATATTTGGTGTATTTATGATTATAAAATTATATATCTGGCATTATTGAACATATCACTGTTATGATAGAAATTACACCAATTATAAGTAACTCTTTCAACTTTAAAAGTAACTTTACAACTTTGTCTTCCAGTGCCTGAAATAATTTTATACATATCACTGTTGTTGCTATACATTTCAAATCTTATTTCACCTTTTAGTGTCTGGGGCTATGTGCTATATTCACGTCTTGAAAGAACATGTGGCCCTGCACCTCAGGTGTAATGCTTGGTGAGTTGCACAATGAGCAAATTAGAGATGAAGCAATAACTGTACTATATTTTGGAAAGATTGAAAGTCATATAAATATATCTCAGTAAATCCAAACTGAAGGTAATTCCCCTCTCAAATTCTCCAACAGATTTCAAAATGCTCCAAATAACTCTAAGAGAAATGTAATGGAGAAAAAAAAATCCAACTAGAAAAAGACTGTGTCTTAATCAATTTAATCAAGTTAAAATAGCTAAATTTATAAGTTTTATAAAAATACACTTTATAAAATTTATGTATTTGTAAATTTTACAAAATGTAATCACATTGCTAAGTTCACACTGGAAGAATCTATGTCAGTGAGCATCCATAAAACTTGAAGTTTAGGGCTGGGGATATAGCTCACCTGGTAGAGTACTTGCCTTGTATGCCAAGGCCCTGGGTTTGATCCCCAATAACACACACACACACACACACACACACACACACACAAACACAAACAAAAAACTCTTGAACTTCAATTTCACTCAGGTGCTTTACTCTGCTACAGATGGAAATTAGTTTATTGTTAGGAGTTTATTCTTTTCCTTCATGAAGAAACTGCTCCTCAGAGCTGGGGTTGTGGCTCAGTGGAGAGCACTTGTCTAGCATGCAGGAGGCACTAGGTTCAATCCCCAACAACATACAAAAAAAATAAATAAAGGTATTTTGTCCGTCTACAACTAAAAAAAAAAAAAAGCTGCTCTTAAGGAAAAAAATAGAGTCATGGGTCTGCACCACTGTATAATGTCTAGATTATCTAATACCTTGCAAGTTGTCCATTAACAGAATTTTACCTGGATTAACATTAGCAATATTTCTACAACACTAGAAAAGTTCAATATTAAGGACTTTACATATTGTAATTCTGATACCACCTCACTTATGGAGGAGAGTGGTTATTAACAAATATAAGTATTTTTCTTGAGAGCTATTTTTAAGAGAAATGTTAGTTAAAACTATAATTAATTAGTAAATCTTAACTGACTCCCACCATTTTTATCTCCAGAAAGACTTTCTGAACAATGGATAGGTAGGGCCTGCATTAGTCACAGGACAAGTGTGGGACACATCTGATAGTTATTTAAGATTTGTTGGGGGAGATAAATTATTCTTTAGGTCTTCTACTTGGAGAGAAAAGTTTGCTTCAGTTCCTTTTGCTTTTAAATTCTCTTTGGACTTTCTGGTAAGTAGACCTTTAATGAAGATTCTCCCCTAAAATAATATGTTCCAATTGGGAACTTATTCTAGTCTTATTCTAGCATATTATGCTAGCCTTTCCGAGGCTATTTTCTTAGACTCCTATTTTCTGAACTCCGTTGAAAGAATTGGAGCGGACCGAACTTTGGTAGGTTAACCTGCCAAAACAAACTGTAGTGAGTAGGAGCTGGAATGCTTCTAAGTGGCAGCTGTGGGGCAGCACAAGGTTCAATAATCGCCAGCTGGTGCTGAAATGACCTGAGGCTTATGGATGTTCAACCTAATCATAAGAAAACTTTTCCTCCACCAGCATCCCAAAGATGGGGGTGAGGGGCACTACTCCAAAGACAGAGAGAACTATCCCAAAGTTCTCTTACCCCTGTCAAAGCTGCCATAGACATTTCATTTTTATCTGATTAACTTCCATAAGTTATTTTGGTGAACAAAGGTATCATTTCCTTGAATTCTGTACCAGTGGCAGTGTAGCTTTCAACAAAATAAAATTTTACAGGTTAAATGGGCCACGTTTTCTATACTAAGTGCTAGACTATAAAAAGCTGTCACACTACCAGGACTCTTATTTTAAAGTAAGTCTTAAGGATCTTTTGGTTTCCAGATTCCAATGACATCTGTGTAAGGATAACAGCATGTTTGCTTCAGCATTTACAAGTTTGAATCATCCTTGTCTTTGATCAGTGTTGTCTTTGAAAAAGGTTTCGTGGAGTTAGGTATCCTGTAAGGCAGAATGTGATTTACAAAGCACATCTGGGGTAGGACAATTTCCTGAACTTGTAAGTCAGAAGAACCAGAAACAAGTTGTTGACTGCTTGACAGGTACCGCCTCCCCCTTTCCCTCTGAGAATAAGACGGGGTGACCACAGGCACGCATAGTTTGTACTCCAGAATAAACCTGTGTGTTGGAGTGGCTATGTATTAACTCAAGGGCAGCCCAGGACAATCTGGTACTGCATCTAAGTGTTTTCAAATACCTTCATTTATAAAAATATCTTTGAAAATTACTGAAACTGCTCTGACTAAAGCATAGAAAACAAATTCCTAACAGTAATTGAAGCAAAGCCAAATAGGTTGCAGGCTGAATTCGTTCAGGCGGGAAGCAAGAGCCAAGAGGGACGGACTGCCTTGGGCTCTCAGGAGGGCGCATTCACCCAGGACTCCCCCAAGCCGTGGAGGGTGACGGCTGAGCCCGGGCTCTGGGCGGTGCCGCGGCGGCAGCTGGCCCCTCCCGGGGGCGGGGTGCGCTGGGAGAGGGCGGGAGGAGGAGCAGCCGCAGCAGCGCGAGGAGCTGCTGCGCGGGGAGCGAGTCGCGCCCGCGCTTCTCCCGCCGGGGATGGACTGAGCCGCGCTGGCGACTCAGAGTCAGTCTTGCCCTCGCCGGGTCCCAAAGCGCCGATCTGGGCTCCAGGCGCAGGGCTCCCGGCACCGCCTCGTCCATTCCCAACAGACGGCCCCCGACCTGCGGACGATCGGGGGAGATGTCCGGTGGCCGGAGGAGGGGCAGCGCCCCCTGGCACAGCTTCTCCCGGTTCTTCGCTCCCCGAAGCCCTTCCCGGGACAAGGAAGAGGAAGAGGAGGAGAAGCCTGGGACAAGCCAGTCGCCCGCCCCGGGCGCTGCCAGGTGGGAGCTGCCGGGGGCGTCGGGAGTTCTGCGCGGACTGGCGGGATGGGGCTCCTGGCCTGACCGCCCGCAGCTAGTCGATCTCGGACCGGGTTGCAGTTAGTTCTCTACTTTCTGTTCTTCTTCCTCCATTGCTAAAGTTTCCTCCTTCTCGTCCCGTTCCCAGTGCCTCACTGCTCCCCTTTCCTGGGATTGTTAAAGCTGGGTGAAGTTCTCGCCCCGCGATCCGGCGCATTCCCCGCGGGCCCAGCCTCACTGCGCGCCGTTCCTTTCCCACCTCCCCCTCCTGGTACGTGATTCTGTTCCGGTTCCACACACACGTCTGCTCTCCAAGTGCTGTGGCACAAGCGATTCCCCCCGGCGTCCTGCCGGCAGTAATGGGAAACACTTGTGAGCCGCGCCGAGCGTTCAGCCCGGGGAACGAGGGCGCGATGTGAAAACCTCTTGTGTGGGAGTTGATGGGACAAAAGTGGAAAAGGTACAGCTTTGGAGGCGTCACCCTCTCAACTGGCAATTTTTTTCATTGTATTTAAATTTTCTCAAAATGATTTTTTAAAGAGTCGTAGTGATGAGTTCCCAAGACGTTCTCGAAATAGAAAATCCTTGCTAGTTTTGTTTACCATGGACTGGATATTTAAATGATGCCGCCCTTCCTTCTTTCAATCTCAGTTCGGAAACATCTGCCTTGAGTTCCTAAATAGATTCCAGAAACCAGGACTGGAGCTGAATAGTTTCCAGCAATTAAAACGCGCCCATTCCCTGTAATCTTTTCTTTTTTTTACCCGCTGTAAAATTTAATTTTTTAAGATGTCTTATTAAAATGTCTGTTCCTGAGTCTTTTCATTCATCCTGAAGAAGGAAGGGGGAGATAAAGGAGATATAACTCGTTGTTATAAACTTTTTTTTTTTTTGAGAGGTGCACCCTGCTTCCCCCTTACTCCAAGTCAGCTGGTTACCCAAGTCCTTGGAGGGTCCAACTTCAGAGACCTGTATTTACTCCAGACTCTAAAGTGTTGGGCTTCAAAGAAAAACGGATGGAAACAACTGAGGCTGAGCTAGTTCCATTAGTTTTTAGGTATTGTGCTGTGATTTTTGTCCTTTGCTTTCCTCAGTTTCTCTACTTGTGAAACATTTTTTATTCTGATCATTTATTATTCAAATACATCATTCTAAGAAAGTGCCAACTATAAGCGACTGGTTATTCTCATGGGAAGTTTCAGCTACAATTGCCCTGACCCTTGAGGGTTTAAAATTCAAAGTTACTCAGTGGTTAAAAATAGTTTGGAAGCCTGATAGGTCCTGGCCAGGATGTCAGCCAGGCAGATAGACTGGTGCTGCCATCAGTGGAACACTAATGGCAACTATCTTGGATGATAGTGAACAACTCTCTTGGATGGTAGGAAAGCAGTCTTTAAAAGATGTCCCAAGTGGACTCAGCAAAAGTTGGAAACTTGAGAGTCAGTGTTGGAAAGGAGGTAAGCAGGCCAGTTCCAGGTTCATATCAGTTTGTCCTGAAATCCTGCCTGCCTCCCGCGCCTTTGTGCCTTTTCAGGGCCTTTCTCCATTCTCCACTCTTTTCTGCCAGGAGTTGACCACTCCAGCAGCTAGTTCCTCATCTACAACTTCTCTGTTTTCATCAGCACCAGATAGGCACAGACTGTGGCTTTTTGACAATGAGATCTTTAATTGTGCTTATGTGAACACTAATTTTGTCCTCATCTTTTTTAGAACTTCGCCAGATGTTAAGGGGATAACAGATAATCCCTTGTGTGGGTGTTTTACTGTTTTAAATGAGCTTAAACCTTTCTTTTCAAGGATATACACAAACACAAAGCCTTTATTGAAAGTTTAATGAAACAAATGGAAATGCTCAGTAGTACCCAATGTCCCAGTAACACAACACCCTGGTGTTAACAAGATTGGAAAGGAATTGCAATTTGTCACTGTGATGTTCTGAAAGGGAATTTGGGCTGTTCTTTTGTGGTAGTAAAAACTTTTAATGTTAATAAGAGCTGGGCTCACTCCCCCCGCCCCACCCTACCCCACACATAGTGCTGGAGATTAAACCCAGGGTCTCAACCACTGAGCACTACCTCCAGTCCCTGGGTTTCCCTTTTGTAGTGGTGGTTTTACACATAGAGGAATCAGTTCAATAGACACGATGTGTTAGATATAAGGATGACTAAGAAAATGGGTCTTTTTTCTCAAGGACATGTGAAAAGCTAATACCACTGGAAAATAGTAATACCAATCTATAATGTGCTAGCACTTTACAATTTTTAAAGTACTTTCAGTAATATTACTGAACATGACTTTTGACAAACCTGTATTATGAGAATCTTCATTTTACTGTGTGTATGTATGTATGTATGTGTGATATATATATTTTAACTGCTTTGAGAAAATGATTGCTTGAATTTCTTTGCTGTGTCATATATGAGGATGTCATATATGCATGGATGCAATGTTTGTAACTCCAGAAGGAAGAGAGGTATGGGAGAATAACTTTTAACAGGGACTGACTGACACTTAATCCTGACCTGGGTACTTTTCTTGCAGCATCTCATTTAAGCCAAACACTCAGACGGAAAGGATAACACTCTCTGGCAACTAAAGAAACTGAGGGTAGGAGAATACTTAGTGGTAGATACTGTCCATATTTGCGTTGTGACAGTTCTTTAAACTGGACTCTCCTGTCCTTTGCAGGAGATATATACACAACAGGGTTAAAGAGAGTTGCCCCAAATTACTTAAGTACTTTTTGTTCAGTGGACATATATCAAATCCTGTATAGTGCCTGCAACTCTAAGGTCCCTTAATAGACATTAAGGATCAAATGTCTGCATTTTGGCTTTTCATTGTACTTGGGATGAAATGCATTCTTTCAAACTGTGTTCAACAGTCTCCTTTTCTCCACTCCCACATGAATTTTATTATATAGCTTACCCATGTACAAATACAAAAACAAAGCATAAATTTCTCAAGAACAGAATTCTTTAATACCTTCTTAAGAATAGAAATAAAAACTAAGCATTACCATAAAGATCAAATTTACAATAGTAACCTGACAGCTATTTTTTGGCTACCCAAAACATAAATATGTTACACATTGAGACAAACATAAGGTCTTTGGGAAGTTGCCATGACAACTGTTTTGCACCACACCCTGATATAAGTCTCTGGTTTTTCCCTATTTGAACCATAGGAGAACTTTTGTTTTTATGAGGTGTTCATTTGGGATTTACTTGGTATGAACACATTATTTATATATTTGAGTTTGCTGTTTTGTTTTTAGCAAAGTTCCAACAGTTACAATGCATTAGCATCAACACTGGTGAACTTGAACTCAGATTTGGGTACTCAGATTGCTTGACATTACTCATCTTGGAAACTTGACCAAATCTAAGAAGTGCTTATGTTTCTTTTAGATTTTTTAGAAATGAAAACTGCAGTTCATATTTTCACAGGAAACTTTAGAACTCCTGGTGTTCTATGGATACTGGATTGAGAACCATCACTGCAGGGTTAAGCTCAGTTTATGAGTACACAAGGACAGGACTCATTCGAAGTCATGGGGGACCAGTGGGGACATTATGGTAGAGTTGATTTTTATTTAAATGGTCCTCAAGAAATTGGTGAGGTTTATATAGATGGAGAACTTAGCTAGGAAGATATAAATAGGTAACAGGTATTACAGGTTGAGAAAAGACCTGCAGGGTTTTATGACCTGTTAGGGGCTGTGCACATTAGTGAACAAAGTGAAAAAGCAGCCAGAAATTTAGATCCTGAGTTGTCAGGATCTCTAGACAGAGTGTTTGGCTCTTGATTTAGAATTCAGAAAATTTTTGCGAAAAGCCTCTTAAACAGATACTGCTAAGATGTGAAATTTGTATAAATACCTGCCACCTAATTTTAACTGCTTTGAGAAAATGATTGCTTGAATTTCTTTGCTGTGTCATATATGAGGGATCTGTATGATGAACTCCATGCAATTGTAACTCCAGAAGGAAGAGAGGTATGGGAGGATAACTTTTTAACAGGGACTGACTGACATTTAACCCTGGCCTGGGTACTTTTCTTGCAGCATCTCATTTAAGCCAAACACTCAGACGGAAAGGGTAACACTCTCTGGCAACTAAAGAAACCGAGGGTAGGAGAATACTTAGTGGTAGATACTGTCCATATTTGCGTTGTGACTGTTCTTAAACTGGACTCTACTGTCCTTTGCAGGACTTTGCCATCCATGCCCTTGCCCACTAATTGCCAGTAGCGTCCTCTGGTCATTGGAATAACTCAAAATGCCTCCACCCAGGAGGGCGGGCAGGAGAGTGGTACCACTCCCAGTGGAGAATGATTTACTCCCAAACCTGAGAGGAGTATGTTTCATGGGTGTGGGTTGAATTTAGGTCCTTTTGGCTCCACAAATCTTTCTTTTTGTCACACCATGCTCTCCGCCATCCTTTAGAACTTCAAAACACATTTGAATATATAAGTCAATTGGATCTTCCTCCATTCTTCTGGAATGGGTAACAAATGGCCCATTGTAGGTACAGTATATTCTTTTGAATGTTACTTTGAGGAACCTGGTATAAGGTCACTGATGAGAAGAAGACGTCAGGACTCCTAGACTCAAGGGCAGGGCTGTGTCTTAGTCTTCTTGGAGTCTCTTTTACCTATCTCAAATAAGGAGTGAATCTGTCAATTGGAGCATTAAGGTGTTCACTAATGGTTTTCAGCCAGGGGCTGTACATTCCCTGTCCTTAAAGTGGGCATTTAGAAACATGGAGAGAGATTTTTGCTTGTCACCATGGCCTGAGGGTACTGAATAAATGGGACCAGAATGCTAATTGGCTATATTGTAGAAGACATTTTTGTAGAAACCAACAACAAACATAAATATTGCTCCTCATGACCACCTTCAGAATTGTTGGCCTACACGTTAAACTGCCAATGTTGACCACACCATCAATTGTTTGAGGAAAGAGAGCTTTCTTTCTTTG